GGGCAGCTCAAGGCGAACTGCGGCCACGCCGAGCCGGCGGCGGGGCTGGCGGGGCTGCTACGGCTGGCGGCGGGGCTGCTCGAGGCGCGGGCCCCGCCCAACGCACAGCTGCGGCGCATCAACCCGCACGTCGGCTCTGCGGTGGAGGGCGTGGCGTGCGCGCTGCCGTCGCAGCTGGCTCGAGGGCTGGATGCCGCGGCGGGGGGGAGGGGCGGCGTGAGCTCGTTTGGGTACAGCGGCACGATCGCACACGCTGTGCTCGAGGCGGCGCCGGTCTCTATCGGCACGAGCAGCCCGCCGCCGCTCGCCTACGCCCGCCGACGCTACGCGTGGCGCGAAGCGCCCCACCCGCTCCTCCAGCAGCGAGAGGCGGACGCCGATGGGCGGCAGGCCGACGCCTTCTCCTCGCCAGCCAGCGGGCCCCTCCTCGCCCTCGTCGCCGACCACGTCGTGCGGGGCCGCGTCGTCTTCCCCGCCGCCGCCTACCTCGAGATGGCTCGCGCGGCGTGCGTCGCCCTCTCTGGCGGCGGAGGCGGAGGCGCGTCGCTGCGGCGCGTCTTCTTCCTGCAGCCGCTCGTGCTGGACGGCGGCCTGAGCGAGGCGCGGGTGAGGGTGGGCGTGTACAAGGAGCAGTTCGAGGTGACCTCCGAGGGAGGCGGCGACGCGTCGACGGCTCACTGCGCCGGCGGCGCATCGGCCGCGTCGGGCCATCTCCCTGGCCTCTCGCTCGCCGCGGCTCGCGCCTCGTGCGGCGAGGCGGTCGACGCCGCCTCGCTCTACTCGCTGCTCCGCTCGGTCGGCCTCGAGTACGGCCCTCGGTACCGCACGCTCGAGGTGGCGGCCGTCTCGAGCGCCGGTGCCGCCGTCGGCCGGCTGTGCCGCCGCTCGCGCAAGGAGGGCACTCGCGTCCACCCGGCCGACCTCGACGGCTCGCTGCACCTGTCCTCGCTGCTCGCCTTGACGGCGGAGGGCGAGACGCGGCTGCCCTTCTCTGTGGGCGAGGCGGCGCTGGCGGATGCGAGCGGCACGGCGTGGCCGGTGGCGGAGCGGGAGGGCGGCGGTGCGGTCGGGGTGGTCGTCGCCAGCGGCGCCGCCTCGGCGGGCGTGCGCCTGGCCGGCTTCGAGTCGCGTGTGCTCAAGGCGTCGCTCGATGCGTCGGCGCAGCGCGTGCGGCACCTGTACGTCACCGAGTGGGAAGGGAGCGAGACACCTGTCACCGCCACGGCCTCGGTCCTCGTCCTGGGCTCGAGGCGAGGAGAGAGAGGCTTCGATGAGGCATCACCGAGCCCAGCAGGCAACACCGAGCGCTTCGGCGGCCTCTCCTTCGCAGCACCAGCGGCGGCGGGCCGGGCAGCCTCTTCGCCACTGACTACTCTCGAAGCAGCCTTGTCACTGCTGCGCGAGCGGCTGGCTTCAACTTCCTCTCCCCGCCTCGTTCTGCTGACCGCCGGCGCGCACGCTCACGGAGCCAGCGCCGCGCCCGGCTCCCACCACGCCGGCTCGCTCGGCCTCGCCCGCACGGCGCGAGCAGAGGGCGCCTCAGACCTGCACCAGGTCGACCTGGCGCCGGCGAGCGCAGCGCACGCGTTCGCCGTCGCAAGCGCTCTACCGCTCGACGAGCCCGACCTCCTCCTTCGCAAGGGGCTGCTTCTCGCGCCTCGACTGCAGCCCTGCACCCAGCCGCCCTCCGCCGAGACCGACGCGCCCACCCTCGGCTCGCACCTCCTCACCGGCGGGCTGGGCGGGCTGGGCCTCGTCACAGCCAGGTGGCTCGCAGAGAGCGGCACTGGTCGGCTCATCCTCGCGTCTCGCAGCGGCGCCGTCGCCCCTGGCGGAGTGGCTGACCGGCTGCCGCCGCGCTGCACCGTCCTCGCCGCCAACGTGCGAAGCCGCCCAGCCGTCCAGCGTGGCGCGCCTTCTGTGCTGCCCGGCGAGCGGAAATGGCGATGCGGCCCCGCTCATTGGCGGGTGGCACCCGGCGGGCGTGCTGACGAACTCCCGCTCGCGTCCCAGACGGGGGCGAACCTGCAACCCGTGTAACCCTCCCAAGGCGTGCCGCCGCCTGGGGTCTGCATCTGAGAAAGACCCCCCCCGGCCGTCCGTAGCCTTGGGCCCTCTTTCCTGTCCGGTGGGGGCCCCTACTGGGG